CGGGGCCGAAACCCAGGGGCAGGTACGCGGCAGGGGCCGCACCGCGCCCCAGCATTCCCCGATCCCGCCCCAGCACCCGAGCAGATCCGAGAAAAGCACGCCGGCGTGCAAAGTCGCGACCCGAGCCCCGAGTGGGCCCCATCTCCCTGCGGCACACTGCCCAGGCCAGCTTCGCCGTGACCGGGGAGATCGTCGAAGCGACCGCTGCGCTGAGGAGTCAACTGGGCAGCTTCCCAACTGAAGGGAAAGGGGGCTCCACCATGCCGAGCACCAGCCGTGAAGGCAACGAGACAGAGCCAGAGTTAGGTCTGGCCTGTCCCCCTACAGGGGGATTTTGGGCGAAAAAAACACATTGACAAAACATGATCCTTAGACTATTTTTACGATATTTGAACGTTCCTTTTGTAAAGGGACAGGCCCGATTTAACAATACATAAAAGAAGAACCATAGGAGAACGAGTGGGCAGCGCGGTCGCCGGAACGGCCGCTCGGCTCGTCTGCCCCCTCGTGCGCAGCACCTGCCCGTGGTCGGCGGGCGAGGTGGCCACAACCAGCGGTCGGGCCGGCCTGGCGGCGGGACGCGTCAGACGAGGGCAGCAGAACCAACCAACGTTTAAGTCGGGCCTGCCCTCTACAGGAGGAAGTTTCCTGATTGTGAAAAATAATCTGGGGACGATGTTCTGACTATTTGGAAATATGTTTTGAGTATGTGTGGGGTATGTTTCATTTTTCCTCCAAAATCCGCCTGTAGGGGGACATGCCCACCCTAACCCTACGTTGCCCATCGAGCGGAAGAGAAGAAGGTAGGAACATGTGATAGGAAGGCGTTGAAAGTAGATTGGGTTCCGTCCGCCTCCCTGGGAGGACGGAAAAGGTAACGCCATTCGATCATTGGAGCAGGAGGCCGCTCATGAAGTAGATTGGGATCTGGGACTCCAAGAACACCTACGTTCGGCGACCGATGGGTACTGGTGGGCAGCAGAACCGCCCTGACAACAACCCACAACTGGGCTGCTCGGGAGGCTACGTTCGGTTGGTCTGCCCGCCCGCGCAGAACTTGCTGTTTCGATCGGCGGCGAGCTGGGTCCACAGAAGGCGGTCGGTCAGCGGCGGGGTGCGTCGGAAGCGAACTCGGGCACAGGGGGAGAGGAGGTGGGGGAGGAGGAGGAGGAGGAGGAGGAGGAGGAGGAGGAGGAGGAGGAGGGGAGGAGTACAGTACAGTGCTCGATAGACATTGCTACGCCACCCAGTTCATCATGTCGCCTAACAAGGCAACCATGCTGCTGCCGCAACACCTGACTTTCTGCTGATACTGCAGCACAAACAACAGCTGCTGGAAAAAAGACACAAACGAGCAAGTACAAGCAACGACACAATAATGAATACAACGCGCAAGTGTGCTGATGTCACAACACGAAAAATAATCAGAAGCAACTGCATAGAATACACAAGCAAGAGAAGATTGGAAGGCGCGGGCAGCAGGCTTATGGCCTGCAGGAAGAGGCCCAGCACGAGGGCGTGGCCGTAGGGACTACTCACTCACTGTTTGCCTCCCCTGCGCTTCCCACCCAGCTGACGGGCCATGTTGTCGCGAGGGGCTCGGTTCATCTTCACGTCTCCTCCCATTCCTCTCAACTGATCAACTGCTCGACTGGAAACCAGAGCCCTGGGATCTGCATCATCTCTGACGGGACCTCCACGGGGCTGATCATGAGGCCTTTCACTGGGGTGTTGGGATCCTCGGGGTCTTCCTTGAGCTTCGCTTCGAGCTCGGCCGCGACCCCGTCCTCGTAGGGCAGGAGCATGTTGCCGTGCAGCGCGTACGTAATGCGACTCTTCTGAGAGACCCCTGGCTTGTCGAAGGTGGGGAGCGCCACGAGCTCTCGAATCCATCATGCCATCTGTACTGGAACCGAGCGCCCCATCATTAGCGCAAGCCTTTTGCAGCCTACTGCGACCGCTTTCATCCGCGGCGAAGTATCCTTGAAGCTGTAAGTCTCGATAACGGCTAGAAGTGCGAAAAGGGCTTGGGACGCGGGGCCTGCGAGCTCCTGCTTGCCTTTGGCCTTCTCCTGCTTGGTGCGCTTGAGGTAGTCCTGGAATGAGTTGTTGATGGCCTCGATGGCCGCTGACTTGCGATCGATGATCGCAGTGGAGAAGGCTGCGTTCTCGAGGCTCCTGACTCTGGCCTCGAGCTGGATCAGCAGGGCGTCCCTGGTCGAGTTAGGAGGGGAGGAGGAGGAGGAGGAGGAGGAGGAGGAGGAGGAGGAGGAGGAGGAGGAGGAGGAGGAGAAGGAGGAGGAGGAGGAGGAGGAGGAGGAGGGGGGGGGGAGGAGGAGGAGGGGGAGGAGGAGGAGGGAGGAGGAGGAGGAGGAGGAGGAGGATAAAAAGGAAGAGGAGGAGGAGGAGGAGGAGGAGGAGGAGGGAGGAGGAGGAGGAGGAGGAGGAGGAGGAGGAGGAGGAGGAGGAGGGGGAGGAGGAGGAGGAGGAGGAGGAGGAGGAGGAGGAGGGGGAGGGGGAGGAGGGGGAGGAGGAGGAGGAGGAGGAGGAGGTGGAGGAGGAGGAGACATGGTACGCATGTGTTTTACACACTCGACGAAAAAACTCGGGGCACATCAGCTCTGCAATCGATCCCCTACTCGTCGCTGCACCGACCTTGCAGACGTGCTGCAGCGGATTGCTGCGTGAATTTCTGTCAATGCAAGACCCGAAACGGCGAGCGAAAAACGAAGTGAATCACCCGTGGATGTTTTGTGGTCTTCACTCCTCGCCCCCAAATATCAGCACAACATCTTCCCTTCGAAATCTGGAACGATACTATCCAGGACAATCCGGGCCCATCCCAGTGTCTTCTGAACGGAATCCGGTCTGCGATGTTGGCGCCGTGGTACAGTGGAGGCCAGCCCACAAGAAACCTTTCGCGAGAAACCCAACCCTGAGACCCCAGGACGCCCGTTGCTCTCCGCTGTGGGAGCGTCACGCCCTCCACGGCCAGAACCATCGAAGCCCAAGAAGCCCAGGGCACCCCGGAGGCACGTGGGGCGCCTCTTGGCACGGCCCCCCCCCCGTGCTCGACGGGCGCTCGACACTGCCGGCCCTGGGCACGGGCACGCCGCGAGAGCTGCCCGCGCACGGCACGCGAAACGTGCCGTCGCTCGGACGTCTATTTCCCGTGCACCTTTTCGGTTTCGCACGTGTTTTCGTTTGCTCGACGGTCCAGGATGGTCCTCGATGGTTCTCGCCGAGAAAAAAAGGCACGCGTCCGAGCGATGCCAAAAGGAAAGAGGGCCGCGGAGCCGCCCGGTGCTGTGGCGACAGCAGGCGGGGCGGGCCTCCCCCATCGGGAGGCTCGGGAGGCCCCCCCCTGCCTTCCGAGGAGCCGTCCCCTCGGATCGCCGTGGGTGCTGATAGGGGGTTGTCGTTGGGTCGGGCATGTCCCCCTAGAGGCGGATTTGGGACGACGAACCAAAGACAGTCGAAAAGATGTTCCAAAATTGACAAAAATAGTAGGCAGCCAGGCTATTTCTGACTCTTTTTGAATTCTCCTCCTGCAGGGGGGGGGACGCGCCCAGTTTCAGGCTAGCGGTGGGCGCTGAGGTGGGATGCGCCTGGCCCAGCCCAGCCTGTCCCCGTTCCAAAAGAAGCCGCCCCCTCGGATCGCCGTCGGCGTTGCTCAGGGGGGGCCGCGATCTCCCGTGTGCCCGTGCGCCTCTGCCTGCCCTCGCCCCCCTCCCCGGCAGGAGCGAAGGAGCCGCGGAGCGGCGCCGTGCCGCGAACGCGACCGCGGCGCCGACCGAGGGCGCGGGCGGGCGCGCCCGAGTCCCCAGGCCTTCGCCCCCCGCACACCCCGAGGGCGAGGAGAAGACACCGCCGCCCGCGGCCGCCCCGAGGCCCGCCCTCAAGCCTCGCTCGGCCGATCTCCGCTCCCACCGGCGTGGCCTGGGCGCCCCCCGCCAGCGGAGCCCTCTGCGGCAGGCGTCGTGCCCACCGCGGGGGTCGTTCAGCCTCGAACGATCGGCCGCTTCCGATACGGTACACCTTGGCGGCGCGCAGAGGGGGCAAGGCTTATCGGGAGGAGGCCGCTTCTTAGAAGGCGCCGGCCCTGTATCTTTCGAGAAGGCCCGCGCCTGCTGAGAAGCAGGGGTGCTTCTGAGAGGCCTTCCCCCCCCCATGACCCCCTCTGCGCGTGGCCGAGCATCGTTCAACATCGGCCGAGTCTGGGTCGCCGGCGGCATTCAACGTTGAACGCCAGCGACAGGGTCGCCGCCTGTTGGCACGACGCGGACCTACCGTAGGGCACACAAAAGAGGCATAAGCATACACTCTTGGAGCACCGAGCGGGGTTCTTGGATCAGCGCTGGCCCCCCCCCCGGCGGTGCCTCCCAGCGCCGACGCAAGAGATCCGCGCGGAGCTCCAAAAGTGCTCCTCCGAGGAGCAGCAGGCTGCGACGGACTTCGCTCGCGTTCGCGTCGTCTCATTCATCGGCGGCGAGCGAGGGGGGCAAGTGAGAAGCGGCGGGCCTTCTCAGAAGGCTCGGAAGTCCCGCGGCCTCCTGAGCAGTTCTCTGAGCCGCCCCCGAAGAGACAAAACAAAAAAAAACGAAAAGCTAGGCGCGAGGGCATCCGGGCCTCCGAGAAGTCCCGCCGCCTTCCCCAGAGGCCTTCTCCTCCTCTCCCCCCCTCGCTCGCCGCCGATTGGTCAAGGGCTCCCGGGCTCCCAAGTTCGCTCCTCGCGCTGCGCGAAGCGCGAATGACTTCGCGCCCTCGTGCCGCCCCCCCCGGGGGAGAAGAGGAGGACGAGGAGAAATCGGAGCCGAACCGCTCGCCGCCGAAGTCGGCGCCCCCGAGGGGCCCTCGGTCTCGCGCTGGCCCCGCCTGGGCTGCATTAGCGGCGGCCCCGCCGCGGCGAAGGCCTTCCCCCCACCCCCCCACCCCTGGGTTCTGGCGCCTCCCGTCCTCCTCCGCCTCCTCCTCCGAGCCTCCTCCTCCTCCAGCAACTCTGGGCGCAGGGTGGTGCGAGCATCCCTCCACCCCACGGCGCTCGAGCGGCCAGTTTTCCAAGGCAAGAGCGCGGGGGATTCGCAGGTTCGCCCAGACGGGTGGCAATGGGGGAGGGGGACCTGAAAATAGAGGCCGAAGGAAGGGGCCCCAGAGGGGCACTTTAGGGCCCCTTTTTTGGTCCCCTGCCAGCTCCAAACGGAGCCCTCAAGTGCCCCTCTGGGGCCCTTTTCTTCACCCCCCACGTTGGAGCCCCCTAATTACCACCCGCCCGAATCGCAGGAGGGCGGAACTCCCGCCGCCGCAGTGTGTGCCGCGCTCTCACGCGAGCAGCTCCTGTGCAAGCACCCTGAGAGCGCCGAACGAGTTCCCGCTGCCATGCACGAAGCACACGGCCTGGCCAGTGATCGCGTTCGTGAAAGACTTCGTGCCCGAAGAGGTTGTTACTGTGACGGGGATGCTCCCGTCCAGCTTCATGTTGTTCAGGGAGAGCACCAGGACACCAGCGTAGTCGAGAGCCACCTTGTCAGGGTTGTGGAGGAAGTACTCGTTGACCAGGCGGTTCTCCGAGTCGGACCAGAAGTACATGTCGGCAAACATGTCCGAGATATCCCCGATGGGGCCCATGATGAAAGCCGAGCTCGCGTACTGGTACTTGGGCGGAGTGGTGCAGTACCCGACCGTCGTATTGGTACAGTCGGCGTACGTGGTGGCAAAGGTGGGGTCGACGGCAAAAGACGACAGGAAGCCGGACATGGTCGCCGTGATGGCGGGGTACTGGTCGTAACGCCATGCAATCTCCTCGGGCCAAGGGCTCACCTCAGCAGCCAAGACAATGGTCTGGGTTCCACCGCTGGCGGTGATGATCTCGTTGTACTTGTAGGAGATCGTGTTCTCGTCGCAGCCGGCATACAGGGTCTCGCCGCTGGCATGAAGGACGACGATCTTCTCGGTGTTGCGGGTCGCGAGGTAGTCAATCCACGTCTTCACGGCCAAGAACCTCAGCCTCTGCCAGCCCCAGACAGTCGTAGCTCCGGACGGGTTCACCATGCCGTTGAGGTGCCTCACCGTCTCGCCTCCGACGCCCGTCATGCGGTACTCCGTGGGCGGCATGGCCGGCTTCTTGTTCTCCTTGATCAGCACCCTGCCCATCGCTACATTGGGCGGGAAACCGTCCAGCTCGCGCTGAGTCTCGAGAGAGTCTGGAGCCACGTAGAGCTCGTACTTCTCCTCGATCGGGTGGTCCTGGACAGAGCCCACGTCCCTGTTCGACGGCCTGTTGAAGACGGCCTCCCAGGGGCTCGGCAGGATCTCCTCCGCCCAGGCGAGCACCTCCTCCGCGAGCTCGGTCGTCAGAGCCTCGCCTGAAGGGGGCGCCCACTGCACCGCCCTTGCACCCGGGCGGGCCGGCACCGCCCTGGGCCCTGGGTCGGCGACTGCGCCTGCCTGGCTTCCCTCAGATCCTGGCGTTGCAATTTTTTCACAACGGGCGCTCTCGCTCAACTTCGGGCCCTGGGACACTCACAGATCGATCCGGCTCGAGAAATGACGCAGAAAGATGGGGTCCGGGGCTTCCGTGGTGACTCGTTGCGATGTTGCAATGTTCTTGCAACGTCGGATCTCAGGGTTAACCAGAGATGCACGTGCACCGATCCCGAGCCTAGGGTGGGCCTGGCCAGGATCGGCGTGGGGTGCACAGTTGGCGGCCCCCGATCTCCCTCCCCACGCACGCGGGCAGCGCCCAGCAGGGTCAGTCCCGTTGCAAGGCGGGCGAGCATGTGTGCGTACCAAGTGTGTGTATGTGGAAGCCGGTACCGCGGAAGCCGGGCGCCTGGGCGGGCCAGAGCAGCGCGAGGCACAGCGTCTCGAGCCGCAAGTCGGGACAGAGGAAGAAAACACTACACACGTGCAGACAAATTTCAAATGTGGCCTCAAGACGGCCCCACAGGCTCCCAAGTCGCACTCGCACTCTCAAGCCTCATGGCCCACGAGCGCGCGGTGAAAGCCAGGGCTCTGGCGCTGCCGACGGGGGCCTCCAGTGTCCTGTCGACTTCGGCGTCGGTTTCTGGCTCCGCGTGGATCGCTCAACCTTGGAAGATCGGCTGCGTTACGATCGCCACATCGTTCCATATTGGCCGATTCTGGGCCACTGGCGGCGTTCAACCTGGAACGCCGCCGGCGGGGTCGCCGCCGCGTAGACACGACACGAACCTGCCGTAAAGTGAAGCTGCCACCACAAGGAGTGCTACATGGGAAACGAAGCCCCTTTTCGGCCACAGAAGCGCCTGGGTGCACGAGGAGCGCGAGAGGAACAGTCGTCGAAGGACCTGAGGAACAGCGAGACCCTCCCGAACCCGAGCTGTCCCTATGTTAGCGTCTTGAGTGTGGAGGAAGACAGCACGCATGAATCAAACCTTCCAAGACGACCTCAAGGAGGTCCCCACAAGGCTCCTAAGAGGCACCAAAAAGCCTTCCCGACAGCATCCAAGAGCCCTCTGAGAGGCATCCTACGGGACCCTCGTGTTCATCCAAGCAGCTCCTGACCAAACAACAACAGCCAAGGAACAGTGGCGGCTTGGGCCGAAAGCCACCAGATAACTTCCACTATCGTCGCAAGCTCTGACTCCTTCTGGGGGGCGGAGAAGGGAGGAGGAGGAGGAGGAGGAGGAGGAGGAGGAGGAGGAGGGAGAAGGAGGAGGAGCAGCAGCAGCAGGAAGGGAGGAAGGAGGAGGGGGAGGAGAAGGAGGAGGAGGAGGAGGAGGAGGAGGAGGAGGTGGAGACCACAGCGCTCTATTCAAAACGAGTACCCAGGCTGGGAAACAAAACACCCTGCGGAGGTCCAGGCGCGGGCCTGCTCGGAGCGGCGCTGGGCTCCCCCCCGGCGGCGCCCCCCCCCGCGCGCCACCCGCGGCGCGGGAGCCCCGCGCCGAGCCGGGACACCCGCGCGGACCAGCGCAAGCGAAGCGGCGCGCCCGGGGGAGAAGCGAGAAGAAGCCGGCCTGCTCAGAAGGCTCGGAGGTCCCCCCCGCCCGCCCTCTGAGGAAGCGTTCGGAGCCATTCCCCAAGGCACAACTACAGCAAAAGCCTTCTCGGCAGGCGCGAGGCGCAAGGGCTTCTGAGAAGTCCCGCCGCCTTCTGAGAAGGTCTTCTCGCTCTCAGTTCCCCCCCCCTTGCTCGCCGCCGAAGAGCTTCTGGAGTTGTGGATACCATGACAATGGACACCCTAGCAGTCCTCTCATTGAACTGAAACCTGAGTTCAAAATGTTTGAACAAATCTTCTAAAAATGGTGTAACCCTGTTTGAGACACGTGTAAGACATGTCTCAAACATGGTTTAGACATCTGGGAATTGTTTGGCAGCACGCTTCCTCTCCATTGACCGACTTCCACCACTTCTGGAGGCGGAGTCGCAGGGGTAAGTTGGGGGTCGCTCCTCCTCCTCCTCCTCCTTCTCCTACTCGATCCTCCTTCTCCTCTTCCTGCTCCTCCTCCTCCTCCTCCTCCTCCTCCTCCTCCTCCTCCTCCTCCTCCTCCTCCTCCTCCTGGAGGCGGAGGCGTGCGAAGAGAGAGCGGCGGGGGCGGAAGGGAGAGGGGAGCCGCAGGGGGGGCCCGGCCCCTGGGCGCCAGAGGGGGGGCCTCGGAGAGCGCACACACACACGCACACACACACACACACGGCGAGGCGGCGGGGGGTCGGCCGAGGAGCTCGGCGGACAGACGCCGCAGCTTCCCGGGCTGCGGCACGGGACGCGCAGGAGGCACACCGTGGAGGCCAGTCCACGAGAAGCCTTCCACGAGAAGCCTGGCCCCGGGACCCCAAGGCGGCCATCGATGCTCGGTGTGGGACGCGGCTTCCAGGGCTGCGGCACGGGACGCACAGGAGGCACGTAAGCGTTCTTTCATATTCGGCGTGTCGGCATTGGGCGGCAAGGGGGCGGGGGGAGGGGGGGGGGTCTGGCTCGGGACCTCTGCCTAGTGCGACTGTCTGCAACCAGTGGCAACACTGCGTCCTGCAGGGGAGGGTCCCCGCCTGCTCGAAACAGGCGCCAAACACAGCCAAGATCCACTCCACGGGGGGGGGAGGGGGGGGGCGAGGGCCCGCGCCGATCGGCAAAACAGTGGATAAAAAAACGCGCACCATACAGTGGAGGCCATTCCACAAGAAGCCTTCCACAAGAAGCCCAGCCCTGAAACCCCAGGACGTCAATCGATGCTTGGTATGGGAGCGTCACGCCTCTCACAGTAAAACCATCGAAGCCCCAGAAACTCAGGGCACCCCGGAGGTAAGCAGGGTGCTTCTTGGCATGGGTCTCCACTGTAAACGCCGCAGCTTCCCGAGCTGCGGCATGGGACGCACAGAGACACACTAAGCCTATATTCAGGTCGGGCGTGTCCTCCTACAGGGGGATTTGGGGCGAAAAACAAGTGGCACGCGTGCCCTGGCTCTTGCACAAAGGAGCTGCGAAGGACAGGAGGCCCCCGCTTTCGTCTTTCAGGAGGAGTTTACGAGGAGCCAGAAAGAAAGTGGAGGAGGAGGAGGAGGAGGACGACGACGAGGACAACAACGACGAAGACGACGACGAAGACAGTCGTCGGCGGCGCCACGCCGCGCGGCTCTCCGCCCGCGGTCGCCGCCGCGGCGCCGCCGCAGGGGGGGGGGAGCAGTCCCGGGAGGCTCGGGGGAGGGGGGGCCGCGGCCCAGGGGAGCCAGAGGGGGCCCAGGTGGACGAACCACAACGACGAAAATAAAGGGGTTCGAGCTCTAGAACACAGCTTTGCAAGAGAATAAACGGTTCCGTGGCCCAGGGGGGCTGCCCTAGGAAGCCTGGACGGAGGGGGGCTCCCAAAGGCTCCCACGGGGGGGGGGCCAGAGGAGCTGGGTCTCAAGGGGAGGGGCCCAGGGGGACGAACGAACCACGACGAAAACAAGTGGCACGCGTGCCCTGGCTCTTGCACAAAGGTTCCGAGGCTCAGGGGGGCTGCCCTGGGAAGCCTGGGCGGGGGGGGGCAGAGGGGGGGGGGGGGGGGGGGACGAACGACACGACACGACACGAAAACAAGTGGCACGCGTGCCCTGGCTCTTGCACAAAGGAGCTGCGAAGGACTTGGAAGCCTGAACGGAGGAAGGCTGTACGGAGGAAAGCTCCCAAGGGTGGGTGGCTCAGGTGAGCTGGGTGGGGCTCAGGCTCAGGGGGGGCGAGGGGGACGAACCACCACGAGCCACGAACCACGACGACAGTAAAGGGTTCCGCGGCCCAGGGGGGCTGCCTTGGGAAGCCTGGACGGAGGAAGGCTCCCAAGGGTGGGTGGCTCAGGGGAGATGGGGCTCAGGCTCAGGGAGGGGGCCGAGGGGGACGAGCCACCTCGAGCCACGACGAAAATAAAGGGTTCCGCGGCCCAGGGGGCCTGCCCTGGGAAGCGCCTGGACGGAGGGGAGGTCCCAAGGGTGGCCCAGGGAAGCTAGGGGTCAGGCTCGGGGGGGGGGGTCGAGGGGGACGAACCACCACGAGCCACGACGAAAATAAAGATGTCTGAGCTCTAGAGCACAGCTGTGCAAGAGAATAAAGATGTCCGAGGCCCAGGGGGGCTGCCCTGGGAAGCCTGGACGGGGGAGCTGGGTCTGGGGGGGGGCAGGGGGGGGGCAGGGGGACGA